CCTAACGATTCGGCAACGAACGGGCACGTCAAACGTGCGTGCACAGCATGGGTATAAAGCGTAGCAGACCGAAAGGTCGGCTTACTCAAATCATCAGACGGTGCGACCACAATATATTGACGAAGTAAACGTTAAGCATTCCGAATTTTCAGTTCATATATAATTTGTTCTATTAACCCGCCCCCTCTTTTTCTGCCTTATCTTTAATAGGCGATGAAAACGATAATAGATTTGAACCGCGAATGTTTCAGCTCGCAAAAATGCACGCACTAGGACAATACCTGTTAATATTATCGCCATTTTATACGTTAATGCTCCCAATTCCTTTATATAAAAATAACTGTTCTTAAGATAAGGCATGCTTAACATATTGGTCATATTTATTTGCAATTATTAACAAATGTAACTGTAAATGTTGATGAACGTTTCAGTGTTATTGTGCCTTCTAATATATTAATTTATAAATTAAGATTCCTTTCGAAATTTTTATCAACATCTATAAAATAAACTGTCCATGAAACTCATTTACCGCAGAAATGAGGGACATTTGGGCAATATTTAGGAACACATTGTCGAGTAAAAAGAAAGACTGCAAAAAATGTTTGAAACTCCTAAAAGCATTAAAACAAACTCTATACCGTAGGTGTTCTCTTTGATAAGGATTTAAGTTAGATATTCTTCCGACGAAATTATGTGCATATAAGCGTACCTTTCCCTTTATACTAGATAAGTATCCGTCATAGTAGACAAATTGGTAAACGAGAGTGTCAAACATCCGAGCAATTTGTTTGCTATTCTGAGCTTTCGCACACCTGCAAGAGTACATCATCAGATACAGGAATCGGAAAGCTCAAAATAGCAGACAAATCGTTCAGGTGCTCGACCCTCTTTCTTACTTACCAAATAAAATTCATAGACAGAAAACGTTGTTTTACATAGTGGATTAAATGTAGGCTCGGATTTTGAATGCAAAACAAATAGTCTACAGTTTGAAGTTTTTGTTATATTTATGTTTTATTCAGTTTCTAAATTACGCAAAAGTAGAAACTATCGTGTACAAAAAGGTATATGTCTACATGAGTTTAATTTAATAAGATTCTATTTTACGTTGTTAGATATAATATGTGACCGCATTTGCTTATGTCCTATTTAAACTTGAAAAAGTAAAACTAAATGTCCTTAAAAACTTTTACTGCACTTTGTTCCAAAAATGCATCACAGTTTTGCAAAAACGAATTAAAAAGATGGAAAAAATTTCTTGCGTCTCGAAATAAATGCGATTCCTTAAAAAATGACCTCCATTACTGTTGAGCAACGTCGGACAAAGGACTGCGCTACTTTCATAGCACCTTTCATATTAATCACAGTTTGGCAAAACAAATTAAAAAGATGGAAACACTTCCTTGCGTCTGGAAATAAATGCGATTCCATAAAAAAATGACTTTGATTACATTTGAGCAATTTCGGACTAAGTATTGCCGTCCTTTCATAGCACTATGCATACTAATAAAACGTTTGGTTTTGTCATACCCATTAGCGTCGGAAATAACTTTATTATGAGACCGGTTATAATTTTGCCAAAATAATGTACATTTCCCGTAATAAATTTAACAAAAAGAGCAATTTTCATATTCTAAGGTCTCCCGGGATTGAATCCACTCAGTTGGTTAAAATGAACGTGACAAAATACATTCTAAATTGCCAACTCAAGTTTAAATATGAAAGTTGCTCTATCTCTTTTCCGTACTGTAGTGCTATACCGTACACAATGCCAGTCAAAATTTAGTCAAAAGAAGCCGCTTCAATTTCCTAGCTTGATTTGAGTGCGCAGTGTTGCGGTTTCTGGGTAACGGTTGTACTAGGCAATCATATTTATATACATAGCCTCGTTCCAGAAGACCACATTACATTTTGTAAATCCCACTGTGTTTTTGTAAAAAAATGAGCTGATTCCCCGAAATGTATTAGTTCGCATTGACTTATCTAACTGAAGTATTCTTGACCCATTTGATAATCGGCACCAAATGCTATCTGGATATTTACAAATGCAACAATCGGCTCTTAAATGTTAACTGCATGCATGCCATAAGGCACCTTGTAAAGCAAAACATCGATTTTTTCCCAACTACCTTGGTGATTGGCGAATACAAGTCTATGCCTAGTTTGCTGGGTCCAATCATATTCGACCACGGATATGGCTGGCACCGCAATGACACCTTGTTTTCGACTTAACCTACAGTCGGCTTAGGAAGATATATATACAAAGCCCTGAATGTACATTCACAAATATTTTATCATCATGAACATTCAATTTATCGGTCTCCTGTCCCTCTGTGTTTGTGGTTTCGCAGATGAAACAAGTAAGTAACCTTTTTAATACATGACTGCTCACCATGCACAAGTAAATCAAAGCGCCTTTCATGCAACTATACAACACTTATATTAATAATATACTTACGTCAGACTAACTGACGTTAAAATACGCAGTAAGGCGATGTTTATAACTTAGTCAAGCCTCTGAAAATTCGAAAAATTCCCTTATCAAAATCCGAAAAGCGTATTTGGCAAATACAGGTTTTTTGTTAATTCACCAAACCTGTACAATTTTATGTATGATTAAAATAATACAGTTTGATAGGTGTATTATATGTCTTAGTATTCATCTATAATTTAATCGTGTATTTTTCCCGCATTGATACTGAATTGCCCGAAACCTATATTCGCCAAGTAAAATGTGGGAATATTTACAGCAGTTAATCAGAATGTATTGCGGAATATTACCACTTGCAAAATTACTGATGGCATGCATGTTGATTCTGCATTATATATCGTTACTGACTACATTTAAATTATGGCTTGCGGTGTGTTGAATTGGGTAGTTAGACGGCAGACACTGTGGTAATAGTCCAGTACAAGTCTCATCGTGCTAAGTGCTTTATAATTAACAGAACAATTAAAAAGTATAATAAATTTACCAAACCCAACGCACGATGACTTAAGTGTTAACATTAATGTGCTAAACGTTGAAAGTAACTTTAAATGGAATGCTTGAAAAAAAGGTAGTGGAAAATTAACATATGTCGGTATTAAGCTGTCGAGGTTCGCAGTCAGTCCCATTGGGAAATATTTTTAGCTATAAGTCCGCAGAATACATTGCGGAAACATCCGAGAGTGGTTCAGCCGCCAAAGGCTGAAAAGTATGTCCGACTACCCTGATTAACTAATTTCAGCATTGCAAATTTAAATGTTTGCGAACCTAACTAGTCTGCTTTGCACTGCGATCTTGTGGATGAAATGTACATTTATAATAATTCATATAAAAAACGTGAGACCGCAAACTCTTGGTAGTTTAACTGAAGCAGAAGTCAATAAAAAGGTAACTTCAGCTCCTCGCAAAGTAAAATTATCATAGAGACAGTAAATCGTCCAGCAAAAACCGCTTTAGTTACAAAAAACTATATATTGGCATGTGTTGTGATTTAGTTCTCGAAATTACCGAGACAAATATGCAATAGGAGCACGTATGGAGACGAAAAGTGCTGCTTAACATGCCTTTTTCAGGTGTTGGTTGCCTCCCACATTACTAATGGTTCCTTAGTGTTACATGATTTGACTTAAAATGATAATGAATTAAAGTAAGTATGTGCATCCCAGATGCGTATATAGGTTGACAAAAAGAAGGCATGCCGATTACCGGAATTATTTTTTTTATTAGTCTGCCTTTTCAGACATGTGTAAACTGTACTCGAAATTACACAGTAAAAACGGTATGCATGCTTGGTATGCGCAGTGTGACGCATAGTCAAATCCTGCCCACATCTGCAAGACGGGTCATGTGTTTTTCTTCGCGGTCAGAAACGCAATCGCCCACACCGGCAGCAAGGCGGGCTTATAGTTTATTAAAGTCTGGGCCTTGAATGAGAAGGCTGCTAATCGTCTGATTGATCTGTCGCCGGTATACAATGTCCTGCGTGGGCGTCTCTGGTCACTGGTGTTTAATTGGCCCCTGTCCCCTCTAACTATGGTTTTTTTCGGTATGAGTCCGACATCTTAGGCGAATAAACCCTTGACGTCGGTGCTCGAGACGACTCAATCTTCTTAACCTATAATTTAATATTGTCAAATCTGAGTGGCCCAAGTGCGTAATAATTGTCTGCTATCTATAAATCTATTAGTAGGAGGTTTGTCAGATTTGTTTAATTTGAGTTGACCCAATGCTTAACAAAACTCGAGGAGTACAGCAGGTTTTGAACCCGCATAATAGAGAGGACTTTTACCGGGAGCCAACTCCCTAACCACCTGAGCTGCAAATGCCCCACCTCGTGCCATGAATTTAATCACACTTGGGTCGACTTTTACCTGCCCACCTTTACAGCAGGTCTACTGCCCAAGTAGGATTTCATACGTAATCGTCTAGAATCCACCAGAATCATTACCAGGCTGACTTATTAGGAGGTTTTTTTTCCCAATTAGATCAACTATAATTAATCAAATATGCCAAATCTCCTAATAATTAAGTCGGTCTAGTTGTCAGTCTGGTGGATTCCAGATGATTGCTTCGGAAATTCTGCTTTGGCAGTCAGCTTGCTGTGCCGTATTGGTGGATGCTATATGGGCGGTAAAGGTGGACGGGTAAAAGTCGACCCAAGTGTGATAACATTCATGCCGCGAGATGGGGTGTTCGCAGTTCAGCTGGTTAGAGCGTTGGCTTCCGGTAAAAGTCTGTTCTATTACGCGGGTTCAAATGCCGCTGAACGCCTCGAATTTTGTTAAGCATTTGGTCAACTCAAACTAAGCAAATCTGACAAACCTCCTATTATAGATTTATAGATAGCTGACAATTATTACGCACTTTGGCCACTCTGATTTGACATTATTACATTATAGGTTAAGAAGATTGAGTCGTCTCGAGCATAAAGGCCTTATCTACTATCTGGTTTCCAATCCCGCCAAACGTCTCGAGGTTTTTTTTTCACAATTGGGTCAACACAAATCTATAAATATATCCAGTACTGATTGTAATCTGACCATTAATTTACCTTGCGTCCCTAGGTGGACCGGTGCCAAGAAATCTGGCTGCATCAGCTCTGAATTCAACTACCATCCACGTGACCTGGAGTGAACCAACCATTCCATATCGATTCAACTACTCCTACCGCCTTTCGTTCAGCAGCGGGAAAATTGAGAAAAGTTACAAGCTGAAGGAGACAGAAGACACAATAGCCGACCTGAAGCAAGCTTCCTCTTACCACGTCTCTGTCCAGGCGGTTGACATATGTGACGTGCCCTTTCCCGCTAAAGCATTCAGGAACGTGCAAACACCAGACAGCGGTAATTTACCATTGACATGTATGACTGGCCTAAACCTTTGATCTTTCAGAGAGTGTTATTAAATACGTGACATCATTTATCTGAATTCCGGCATGCGTTAACGTCTGTGAGCACTGATGGACAAACGGCAAATGCCTAAGAAGCGTTTTTGGCAAAAGGAGCTTATGTAGCCCCACACATAGACCCCTAGTTCCAGCATTTTTTCCTGCAAAAACAGTGGTTATAGAGTTTTTTGGGGTGGGAAAATAGGATAGGCACAGAAAGAAAGTTTTTGAAGTAAGTGTAAAAGGGAAAAATGTAGTCGATGTTGCTTCCCGCGGCCGCTGGGAACAGAATGTTCCGCATGTAAATTAAAGGTGTGCGCGGCGTTTCGCCCCGCGGATTACACTAATCTAGCTCCAGGACGGTAAGTTGGACCACAGGTAAGTTGAAGTAGACGGCCTCCTAAAAACCACTTCAATATTTCGGGAAATTCAAGAAACCTGAATTTCCGCAAAAAGTTAAATGCTTATACAGATTAGGAAACCCTACAGATATAAATCAAAAACACCTCTAAATACAGTAAAATCAAAAGGCATTTAGCATTTATTGAAGTATATTCCACTGCCTGTCCTAATTCCCCGCCTGTATAACCCAAAAACCACCGCTTTCGTAAGAAAACGTGCGGGTTGTAGGGATCAAATAGTGGGGCTACATAAGCAAATGTTACCCTGTTTTTTTCCATTAATAAGCTTTTCTAAAATAGGGAGCACTGATGAAGTAGGGAAGATGTGCGTTTCAGGCCTCAGCTGTTCACTGCGTACGTAAGTTTAAAATACCCAACATAGTGAACGTGCTATTTTATCTCATCGACCAACACTGCAATTGCCAATGAGGGCAAACTTTTGAGTCCTAGATAGTTGTTGTAGGGAATAAATAAGGTTTATGACAAGATGGTCAAGCAATCGTCACATTCAATAACGCCACGTCAGGAAGCAAAGTACAGCTAGTAACAGGACGCACGCCTGTCGTCAAGAGCCTAGTGCACAAGTGGACTGCTTAGGGGAGTCCTAAACACGTATACCGAAGCACAGGGACTGTTTACTCTAAATACTGCAACGCCCTATGCACTAATAACCCCTTTCCGCTAATATTTACGAAGAAGAATCCACGAGGGAATGCAAAGCATCTGGCTAATAGACGCATTATCGCACCTACAGCAACCTATGCTTTTTAGTTAGTGCGACGTTTTTGACAAAAAGCATTGCGGAATAGTACTGCTCAATGCACAGTCGTATTTGTGTTAGATTTGTGTGCGTTGATTGTTGTACATGTGACGGCCTCGTGACATGTAAACTCGAGATGCCCTGAACACAGGCAAATTTAATAGCCGAATGAATGAGAAAGTTCGCGATCCAGATATATGTATGGAGGAGGAAGAAGGCTTGTCGAGCACCAGATCAATTTATTTATTGTTGTGAACTTTCGAACTCTTACAGGGGTCCATCTTCAGGCATGAGAATGCAACCAAAAAAGAGGGTAATTAGCGTACACCACTATAACTCCCCCCGACTCCACTGACAACTAATTGCCCTCCTCCCCCATCCTTCTTCGATTGCTGTTTCTAACCCCCTGACAACCTGATATCTTCTGACAGTCGATTAGCCTATGGCCAGTATAATTACCCTCTTTTTGGTTGCTTTCTCATCTCTGAAGATGGAATCCTGTAGGAGTTCGAAAGCTCAGAACAATAAATCAATTGATCTGGTGCTCAACACGCCTTTTTCCTCTTTTATGAAATTGATAACATTTTCAAGTACTATCACCGCATTCAAAGCTACAATATAGGATAGCCTAGACAGGACTATGTTTGAAAAGAAAGAAGATCTTCGGAAAATCAAGTTATTTTTTCAGGTATTAGAAAATACTGTATATCAGACGAGATGTTTCAAGGAAGCATTAGCAAACCGCAGTAGTAAGAAATTAAACACTTAAGCTAAAGCAAAGTCGATTATATTTATATAGGAAATAGTACACAACCCTTTCCAATATAAATATACTGGAACGATGATAATTTGTCGAAATGTTGTGCATGCTCGTTAACGAACTATATGAACAGGACCAAGTATGAGCCCCTTGAGTTCGAATCGTGCAGTCTGGAAAGTGTGCGTGCCAGTTACCGTTTTAATCAGTGCATCTTCTACCTAAAATGTGTTTCATAATAGAAGTCAAAAATAGCAGTGGGACATTAATTTCTAAATGATGACGATTCGTTGCTGAAGTATGATGTCTGCTTGCAGAATGTATCCATAAAACCGCTTTGAATGTCTCTTCGCGATTTCATATACTAGCGCTGACTACACGATGTTCCAGATCAGAAGCCAGCTGTCCATGCATAATACTGGTAACATGGTTATATCTCTCATCGACTGTCAGGAACATCTATCTGGCACTAAGCAGTGCGTTACGTCTAAGCACTACGCTGGACAGTTATGTAAGCATGTATGCATCTGCTTTGTAGTTAATGTGACTTAAATTTTGCGATGTCGTCCATCAAACATTACCGTGCTGGTGCGTACGATATGGTCATATCTAGCCGAGGACAAAGGACGAAAAGTTAGCCTTGTAATCCGAATTGTCTTATCCGATGCTACCATACAAGGCGCTTACGGATTTGGACAGGACGTGAGAACGAGCAATTAACAAGCGGCATTAGGCAGAACTAGAAAGTAAATGTTTAAGTGGACGCCCCGTGAGTTTTTGCCCTAAATGATAATTGCAATTCCATGTGTCTGCAGATGCGCCGCTTTTAAGAGATCTGACTGCTCGGCCGCTAAACTCCACATCCATCCGCGTGACCTGGGAGGCAGCAACTGATCCAAATGACGTTGGAGTCCAGTATCGCCTGTGGTGGTACAGTACCAATGAGCGAAAGAGTTACAATGTGCAAAAGACAAAGAAAACAATAACCAACCTGAGTCCGGATTCTACTCTCAATGTCACAGTGCAAGCTTTCAACGCGAGGGGTGCTCCTTTGGGCGGTGTGGCATTCACTTCCACACAAACGCCACCCAGTGGTAATATACGCTTAAATGCCATGTACTGCTTAATCGTTGCAAATTAACTGTTGATCCGTCGACATTTACCTTTGCAATAAGACAAGATGAGTCGTCCTTCACACCATGCTGCGTTCATGAGCACCTCTGCAGCGCATATAAAGGCTGGGAGTTCCCATTCGTGCGGATGCAAAGTCAACTTCATTTTGTTACTAAAATTCGACCCCTGGCGGTGGTGGACAGGTGGATTAAGAATTACCTCAAGCCCAGCAAATATTTCGATTAAAGCATAAATTTGAAGTGGTCGCAGTAATGCATCCTAACAGGATAACCTTCGACAGCGTTGTGACCTTGGTTGCATCGTAATTATTAAACAATATTTATTCAGAAACAAGTACAGTGGGTGACATATCTAATGAAAGGTTGGGGATTGGGGGATTTAACACAAACTTGAGGTCGTTTATTTAGTTCAGTGGGTTTGGTTGAGGCGCAAAATGCTGTTTATTAGGATTTATTTCCATTCGGATCAGTATACTTGGAGAAAATATAGGCGAAAATGGGCGAAATCCAACGTTTATTGATTTCCAAGCAATTTGTTATGCTTGTAGGCGCTGCGGAGAAAATATTCTAGATTTTGCGTGCTGAAGTGTACGAGTACATTCATAAAGAGCTAGAACTGTTTAATCATATGTGTTCACAACAGGGAAAATTTTGTTTTGCGTTCATGGAATTGACGTAAGTGCAAATAGGAGATTACGGATTATAGTCGAGAAATGGAAGACGAAACGCATTCCGAAAATTATGTTTAACAAACCTGTCATGTTCTGTGCCATAAAATTAAGGAGAAACTTTTACAGCTGTATATTGTTTTATCACATTGATATAAACGACTTTCGGTAGGCATATATATGAACACCCGCGACATGCCGTCATTTTCTCTGAAGTAGCGTACGCGAACGATTTGTAAGCAGTTTCTATCTGTAGTAGACTATCAAAGGATATAAAAACTTGCAGCAGATGGAGTGCCGAACAAGTTGTTAGCAAGTGCTTTAAATATTAGTATAGCCTCTCTTTGGTGCATTATTAATAGCAGAAATATGCCCAGAAACAAGCAGGGTGGACACAATGGTACACGAGTAAGCAGGATGACGATTTCATTCGTCGTACACTAAAAATGTTATTAGCTGCCTATTAAGTCTATTCATAGGAAACATCTATGGGGGTACTTAGAAAAAGGATGCGGGAATTTCAATTGCACCAAGAGAAGGCCACAATAAAGTCGTTTTTAAGTAGAAAACGTATTAGAGAACGCTTTCTTTTGCAAAAAAAGTATATTGAATAACGGCCCTCATTCTGAAAGAGTATTTACTTCTGTGATGAGGTCTTGCTTTTAGATAAAACAGTTAATGTGATGCAGGTTGTCATATTCGGAAAACTTTCAGAAGGAAAATACTGCGCCGACAGTGGCATTCAAGAACTGCCGAACATGAATGGCTTGGATGGCCATTTAGTTCGGCGAGCGACCAATTTGGCGGTCCACTGTGGACAGCATAAACAGAAGGGTGTTCATACACATCGTTGAAGATGCCTTATGTTACAACGGCATCAATCGGCGCAAAATGAACACAATTATTTTGCACGATAATGCTCCAGTCCACCGTTCAAAGGAGGTATTAATTTGATCACATTTACAAGTGTAAGATAAATTTTTAGACTACAGCCAGCCTCTCCGCGTGCGGTCTTCTCACTATTTTTATTCGAGCCAACAGCCCCGACATGAATCCAATCGAAAATTTGTTTGCAATTTTCAAAAGTATTTGTTATAAAACCAAAAAACTCTTTCTATAGAAGAAAATTGGATAATATTCTTAATACCCACGTTGCACAAACAACTGTCGATAACTTGGTGACTTTGATGACCCACAGGCTTACTGCCATTTTAAATCTGAATGGGCGTTTTTCGAAATATTAACTATTGTATTTGTATATATTCTCTATGACTTTGACGCTTTTTTGCAATTTCCTGCCTTAACACATTTATATTTTACTTTGGACAACTGACTTTTAATATTGCCATTTTCTGAGTTTGCAGATGTTTGTGAAAATTGCATTTTTTCATCCTAGTAAATAGTTATTTCTCAACCAAACTCAGACTTTTTTACTTATAGTTTTAAATTTACTCTTATTATAGTTTTGGGGTACGCCGCGTGCGCTGACTTCCCGCAAAATGACTTTTATTACGTTTTCGAACTTATTTCTTTAGATACAGTAGTCGCCGGCTATTAAGCCCACCTCGGGCCCAGACCAAAT